CGTGAAAATCATCACGGAATTACCAGCAGCTTACTTATACAATAGATTGCTTATTAAGGCGACATCAGGTGTATATTCTCTGCAAAATTTTACTGAAATATACCTCCAAAACAATTCACAGTGTAAGATCAATATTTATATTTAATAATACCATTTTATAATTTAAATAAAATTTTTTTTATTTTATCTGAATGATTTTTTAAAAACATGTTTACTTACTTTTTGAAATACTTTTTAATCCAGGTCTAAATCGCTACCAAATTTTTCGTTTTACTTTCAACTACAATGTAGAAAAATACATAACTTTTTAGGAATAAATATGACCGTGTAAATGATATACATAAATATGAGAGAGAGCGCCAATAATCGGTCAAAGTTAGATGTTATGAATACAATATATATATTCTTAATTTTAAATTTAATTATCTCAGATGTGATTGTGCGCTGAAACGTTCGGACATTAACCACAATCGATCTGAGACGCTGATAATATAAATATGAATAACCGAATGTTTTGGCGCCTTATCATATTTACATTATTAGCGTTTCAAGTAAACTGCTTCGTGGTGATTTCGATAACTTTTTCATATTTTGTTAAAAAATACATCCTGAAATACATGCATTTCTATTATTACGCTAATATTCCAATTTCGGATGATCACATCCTTGAATATATTTTTCCAATTAGATATTTATTAAATCTAGAGTGCCAAATTTAACCTAATTTAAGTTGTCACTGTTCCTAGTAATATATTGTAATTTTATTCATTTTAGTATAAAATATCGATAAGGTTATTAGGAGGAAGATGCTACACTTAAGTCTTTATTTTTGAATAACTTCTTAAAGTTATTGAATTAACGAACGAAAAAACATTATTTATATTTTAGCAACCTCTCTTTATTCATACAAATCAATAAATTAAACTTTTGATGTTCCGTATTATTAGAAAAAATTGATATGTCATACCCTGCAAAAGTGGCATCTTTCCCTTATACATATATATACGGGTGAGATGCCACTTCCTATGGGAAAAGATTCACAAACAATTAAATAATGTGATGCAATATAAACTTACATATTTTACTTATTTATAGTCCATAATCGAGAGTTTAAGCTTAGAGAACACATAAAAGTATGATAAAATATAAATTAACGAAATATGAAAGAAAGTATAATTTAGGAAGTAAGTTGGACATACTTTATTCATTTAAATAGCATTTTATTAACTTAAAATATTTCGAATTATGTAGAGCATCCAAAATTTTAATTCATAAAATCGTTTTAATGACGATTTCAAGCAGAAAAAATTTGTGTCTACTGTCATCTTATCCCCAAGTGTGAGAGGAATATTCAATTGCAACTTTTACGTATATAAGAATATTACAAATTATAATCTATATCGATATGATCTTCAGGGAACACTGATTAAAATCGTATATCATTTGTTCGGTTTTACAGTAAGCATCGCAATACAGACGTTAACTGTTAGCGTACCAAATATTACAAAGAGCATGTTTCGACGACCTTTTCGTATTTCGTATAATCTTTACCAATCGACTTTGGCATGAACATGTTCATCTCTGCCGATGACTACCACACGCTTTTGCACAATCAATACGGCCAACGCATGTTGTATAAAAAAATTATAAACAAAATGACGTCTTCCCCTTTGTGACATCTTCCCTCGAATTACCTTATATTGAATAGAAACAGTGACAACTTAAATTGCTAAAAGTAAAATGTTAATTATAACTTAAAGTATAATGAACTATAATGAACTTTCTGAGACTTGCAAAAACGTCAAAACTAACATTTTTGTACACAAAATGTTAATTTTAACATTTAATATTTTACTTTTAACAGTGTGTAAAAATAACGTTTCGTTTTTAACATTG